AATTCATACATATATATTTTATTATTAATTCTTATCTAAAGTTTGCAATACTTGCTCTTCATCATATGATACTTCCTTTGATTATATTGTATTTTTCTCAGCCAATAGTGTTATAGTAGCAATTACTTTGAAATTTCCATATAGGAATATCGTAAAGGTTTTTTTGAAGCTTCTCTTTAAAGTTCTCTAAATAGTACTTAGTTTCGTTGTCCTAGCATCAAACTTACTAAGTTCGCTAATAATAAAGATAATATTTATAAATTAAATTGAGGCAGCTGTACATAAAACCTCCAATAAAAAATTTTTTCATCCTTTTAAAACACCTTCCCTATTCAAATATAATTATTCAATTGTAGATTATCACACCACCATCTACTGCAATCAGGAAAGTTGTCTTTCAAATGTGCTACATACATAAAGTTATAAGAATTATTAGAGCAAATTTCTGCAAAGAATATAAGCAGTGCTATCTTTATAGGATCCAAAATAATTTGAATCTTAGAAGTTATTGTAATTTAAACCAAAAGTTAGCGTACCTTGAACTGATATCTATAAAATCTTAAGTAAGTCTTGAAGCTGTTCACCTTAATCATGGGAATATGCATTGAGCATATTAAGCACTATCATATTAATAATAATAACCTGCACGAAAATTAGTACTTAAAGCACAATTAATTTCATATTAATATTTATAATAAGAATGAGAAGGATCACTCCCACCAGTTTAAAACCCGATGCATAAGATTCACAAGTGTTGCAGCACAACATAACTGACTTTGAGTTTTCAGTAATAAATTAAGTTCAAAAAAAAAACTATTCCATTTGTTCTAGGAGTTGATAATTCTTAAAATTCCTAGATGGCATTAACAAAGAAACATAACCAATGGACTCAGCTGCTCGTTTATAAACATTACAGGTTTGTGCACAATGCTTCCAAATAGTGGTGTATCAGAAAAATTTCCAAACAGACATGTTAACATGAATATTTGATCTGCTGATCAACTAGAGATAGTACTATTGATTTTTTAGCCAGAATTACTCATTATTATAAACATATGATGACCAACATTTTATCAAACAGCGAAAGTGTAAACATAATTTTTTAGCGTTCATTACAAAGATGATATCCAGCGATATAAGAAAACAATTAGCAGCGTATTAAATATCAGGTAGTAAAAGTGAATAACTTGGCAAATATAAGTATCTACTTAAACAACTCTACATAGACAGTGTTTATGAAGTACATTATGGATTTTATGTGGAGAAGTTAAGATAAAATTGTACTACTGTAATTATAATTATTAAATACATTTAGTTTAGAAGTTGAAAAATCTAAGGTGCAAACCAACTTGTATCATCATAACATTCGGACAGCCCATCTTACAAGTACTATATGAGTCAAGTTGCCTGAGTAAGTAGATACTCATAATCACAATATGAGAGTGAATAAATATTTTTTCATAAAAGCTATAAGTGAGCAGACATACCGTGATAATTTATTACCAAAGTGATAATTTTCCAAACTTTGGTTATCATTATAATGTGTATTGATATATTTGTTAATCTTTCGTAGACAATCTTTTTTTTTTAGAGGCTGTATGTATTTCTGTTTGGATCTAATGTATCACCACAAAGTTGAGCAATATTTAGTTCCAGAATTGTTCCTGTAGCACAAGGATTAAAATAGATGACAAAATTAGTAGCATATCAAAAAAGTAAGACGAAAACTTTAAAACTTATAGCCCTGATTATGTTGGTATAGATGGAGTATCCAAAGATGAAAATTGTGCAAGTATTTTATCTGAAAATATATTGATTGATATGAATAAGTAGCACAATATCAAATGCGACTCTTATAACTTATGTGAAACGAAACCTTAAAAGTGTTATTATAAGCGACGATTCTTGCAACGCAGTCGAAGCTTTGCGAGTTCAATCAGCCCAGTCAATAAAGGGTAATTACATGCAATGAACCTATGGATATTTTAGGAAAGTAGCTATTGAACATACCCACCAGATAGAAAATTTCCATCAATAACACAACAGCATGTATTTTCTTTGTTGATCATGCTACAAAAAGGAGGTGTTGTGGTAAATGGTAGGATCTATGATTATATAATCCTCAGAGTTTTTAAGGATATAAAGAAAATTATTGTAAGTTGTTTGAGTTGTGAAAAATATCTAAAGGTGTATTATTTAAAAGACAGTAGTAGATGCAACTGCCTTATTTTCAAAAGTTAGGCGTAGAGTTATACGTTGCAAGTGTTTGTGTTATTTAAAAGGCAATATTCAGGAATTCAATTCACATATATCTGCATCAATATTGTATCTAGCACAATGTGAATAACAACCCAAGGCATTTAGGATAGCTCGAATCTCTGTAAAACAAATTTAACCTCAGCCGCTAGCATTTTCAGATTTTTTCATGGTTTTTGCACTCTACACAAACATTATTATTAAACATTATTGCTTAATTGCCAAAACATAATAAGCGAATGTCCACTTGAGAACTGTTCAAGATGTACAAGATTTACTATTATTTTTTTAAGTAGAACAATGTTATCCAAAAGAAACTTGTATTATATTGAGTCGAATAAACAACACTTAATTAATAAGCACAGTACATCTGTAAATTTAGTTCAAACTAAATTACCTTTTAAGCATTAATTAATCATCATTATTGTATGATAATATCTCTGAATGAAAGAGTACCAAACGTTTGCTCACATATAGAACAGTTAGGAGAACAATATAGAAAGTATCCTTTATAAAATAGTGAAAAGTTCTATAACAAGGAGGTGTACTCTCAAATCAAACCGTGCATTTAGTACTTAATAAAACATATATATATTGGATAGACATTGAAAGGAAGCTATAAAGTTTAAAAAACTGTCAGAAAATTTTAAAACATTTGTGAGGATGCTCATAACAAAAATAGTTGTTTTATTTTATTTATATATAATCAATATATTTTGCTTGAGGGTAATTCCTTGGATCAAAGGATCAAAGTTATAACAGCTCACCTAGATGTAACTGCGGGTGTAAAGAGGGAACCTGATCAAGTGCTGTTTTCTCAATCAGGACTCCGACCTCCACCCAATTTTGTTGTGTACAGTTCTAGACCAGTTTAACTATTCATCAATTTCAATCTCTTATTATCGAAAATTATTTTACAATTCGTATTAGTTCTTCATAGCATTTATTAGTTTTGGATTTCATTTGCCTTTGTTATTTTGATATTAGAATATACGACTTATTATTTGATGTTGATTTCAAATCTTTTTAAAATATGAGGAAATTTGAAAATTTTTTGTAGTGCCATTCAATTTATCTTCTTAAAATGCAATATCCTTATTAATAGAAAAATTAAAATAAATTCTGTCCTTAAGATAATTAATATTCAATATCAAGATTTTTTAAACTTCTAAATTGGACTTTTTGGAAAATTTTAGAATTGTTCTAATACAGGTGGCTATTGAATACTGAAAATAAAATAATACTGTTTGAAGGAATTGCTTTTGAAAATATTGAATGATAAAAATTTGCTTGAATATCTTTGTAACTTTTATCTTAAGGTAAGACTCGTGTTCCGTTGTTTACATACTACAAACTGACTAACTTATTCTAACTACTAAATGCTAATATAGAACCATCAACTGTTAGTACATAATGATTATGAGGAACTAATTATAACGTTTATTATTTTGGTATAACATCCCATAAACGGATGGAGTTACCATAACTACCAGATGCTAAACTAGTGCCATCAGAGTAGAAACATACTGATAGAATTCCATTATCATAACTATTCAACTAGGCTATTTAATTTCTTATCCTAACAACCCGTAAACGAATAGTGCAATCCCCACTACTAGATACATATTTTAGTACCATCAGAAGAGGATCAAATCGACCAAACAGTATGATCATGGCCTTCTAATTTAGTTTTTTATACTCCAGTATTAGAATCCCATTGATGGACAGAATAATCTGAACTACCTGATGTTAATCTAGCACCTTCAGGAGAGAAACAGACTGTATTAACATTGTTACTATGACCAACTAATCTGCCATTTTATTACCCTGTCTTAACAAGCCACAAACGGATAGACCTATGATAACTACCAGATGGCAAAATCGTACCATCAGATGAGAAATAGACTGATATGACAATATCAACTTGTTTACCTATGAATTTTTATATTCCTGCCTTAACATCCCATAAAAAGATGGCGTAATCATCGCTGCCTGATGCTAATGTAGTACCATCGGGTGAGAAACAGACTAAATTAACTGGACAAGTATGACCAACTAATTTTGTTTTTTCTCATCCTTTCATAATATCCATTAAATGGATAGTAATTTGTATTCCGGCAGCAGGGGCTTGGGAAAACCCTACGATATTAGGGATACAGTTACCACTTCAGAATTTGTGAATGAAAAAAACGATGTAGGTACTATCCCGAATTTGTGAATTTTGAAAATTCCCAAATGAACATATAAATTTCAATTTTTATTTAAGGACAATAAAAATACCATAAGTAAATTTAACTTTTAAATTAGGCTATTTATTCATCTTACTAAGCTTAAGAAGGTATCTTTTCTTGGTTCTTGCTTCCTTGATAAATTTATCCGCAGCTCAGAAAATTTGTAGTAGCTTAATATGATAGAACTATTTCATTTGGTCTAAGGATTGGTGGTTCATTCGAACAATAAAATATGGAAAATTTTTCAATAATAGATTTGTGATAAAATATAGATTGAATCTTATTATTAATTGAAAAAAGGAATTTCAAATCAGTTTCAGTTACTTTAAAGTAGACTGTGATAGATGTTAGAAAAAAATATGAAACCTAAATACCTTTATTATGTAAATTAAATATAACTTTTAGGTTATAGAATTTCTCCCTTTTTTATCTTTAAACTTTTAACCTCAGAGCTTAATTCTTAATATTTACAAATCGTATAGAAATCCAGAAATAAAATTCACTAAAGAAGTTATTTAAATTATTCAGGAGATCAAAGTTAGTTATAAAAATAAATAATACTTTTTGTTTCCATAATTTTTATTAATCATCAATTTTATTTAAATTGTTTTAAGTTTTCTAATATCAAGCATCCTTTAGATTTGAACAATTGTTTTAGATTTTTACCTTAATAATTTTCTAAAACTCCTCTGAAAATTAATGTGTCTGTAGTCTCTAAAATCGGATTTTGACATATGCTTTGTATTGTACGATCAAACTTAACTTAAGAAAAATATATCAAAAATACCATGTAATAAAATTGAAAGACTTTAAAGTGACAATTTGAACTAGGAAAGTTATTGTTTATAGAGACTATCTTGATAGTAGATCTCATTGGCTGCCTTAACATCCCATAAACGGACAGAGTTATCTGAACTACCAGATGCTATACCATCAGAAGAGAAATTGACTGAAATAACTTTCTATAAAGGAAAATCTAATTTTGCTGTCTTAACATCCCATAAACGGATAGAGTTATCATTACTACATGATGCTAATGTAGAACCATCAGGAGAGTAACAAATTGAATTAACACAATCTGAATGACCATCTAATTTGGCTTTTTATTATCCTGTCTTAACATCCCATAAATATATGGACTTATCATAACTACCAGATGCTAATGTAGTACCATCAGAAGAGAAACTGACTGAAGTAACGGTAGATGAAGGACCATTTAATTTTGCTTATTATTATCCTGACTTAGCATTCCATAAACGGATAGAGTTATCTGAACTACCAGATGCTAATGTAGTACCATCAGGAGAGTAACAAATTGAATTAACCCAATCTGAATGACCATCTAATTTGGCTTTTTGTTATCCTGCCTTAACATCCCATAAGCGGATTGACTTATCTGAACTACCAGATGCTAGTGTAGTACCATCAGGAGAGAAATTGACTTTATAAACCCAATTTAAATGACCATCTAATTTGGCTTATAATTTTCCTGTTTTAGCATCCCATAAACGAATTGATTTGTCTCTACTACCAGAGGCTAATATAGCACCATTAGGAGAGTAACAAATTGAATAAACTGTTCCAGAATGACCATCTAATTTTGCTTTTTATTATCCTGTCTTAACATCCCATAAACGGATGGAGTTATCTGAACTACCAGAAGCTAATGTTGTACCATCAGGAGAGAAATTGACTGAATAAACTGTTGATGAATGACCATCCAATATAGCTTTTTATTATCTTGTCTTAACATCCCATATACGGATAGACTTATCATCACTACCAGATGCTAATGTAGTACCATCAGGAGAATAACATATTGAATTTACCCAATCTGAATGACCATCTATTTTGGCATGTAATTATCCTGTCGTAACATCCCATAAACGGATAGAGTTATCATTACTACATGATGCTAATGTAGTACCATCAGGAGAGTAACAAACTGAATTAACACAATTTGAATGACCATCTAATTTGGCGTTTAAATATCCTGTCTTAACATCCCATAAACGGATGGAGTTATCTGAACTACCAGATGCTAATGTAGTACCATCAGGAGAGAAATTGACTGAAGTAACTGCTTATTTATGACCATCTAATTTGGCTTTTTATTATCCTGTCTTAACATCCCATAAACGGATAGAAAAATCTCCCCCTTTCTAATTAGATCCACTAGCAGATGCTAATGTAGTACCATCAGGAGAGTAGCAAATTGAGTTAACCCAATCTGAATGGCCATCTAATTTTGCTTTTTAGCATCCTGTCTTAACATCCCATAAACGGATAGACTTATCATTACTACCAGATGCTAGCATAGTGCCATCAGGAGAGTAACAAATTGAATTCACTTAAAATACATGACCTTATAATTAGGCTTTTTATTTTCCTGTCTTAACATCCCATAAATAGATAGAATTATCATCACTACCAGATGCTAATGTAGTTCCATCAGGAGAGTAACAAATTGAATTAACTTAATATTCATGACCATATAAAATAGCTGTTTAATTTCCTGTATGAACATCCCAAATACGGATAGAACAATCTCCCCCTCCATAATTAAATCCACCACCAGATGCTAATGTAGTACCATCAGGAGAAAATTTGACTGATCTAACTGTATCATAGTGACCATTCAATTTGGCTCTTTATTATAATGTCTTAACATCCCATAAACGGATAGACTTGTCTCCACTATTAGATGCTAATGTAGTACCATCAGGAGAGTAACAAATTGAATTAACAAAATTTGAATGACCCTATAATTTGGCTTTGAATTATCCTGTCTTAACATCCCATAAACGGATAGACTTATCATTACTACCAGATGCTAATATAGTACCATCAGGAGAGTAACAAATCGAATTAACTTAATATTAATGGCCATCCAATTTGGCTTTTAACTATCCTGTCTTAACATCCCATAAATGAATAGCCTTATCATAGCTGCCCGATGCTAATGTAGTACCATCAGGAGAGAAATTGACTGAAGTAACTACTTAGTAATGACCATCTAATTTGTCTTTTTATTTTCCTGTCTTAACATCCCATAAACGGATAGAACAATCTCTCTCTCCTATACTAGATTTACCACCAGACGCTAATGTATTACCATCAGGAGAGAAATTGACTGCTCTAACTGCTTATTAATGACCATCTAATTTGGCTTTTTAGTATCCTGTCTTAACATCCCATAAACGGATAGAGTTATCTGCACTACCAGATGCTAATGTAGTACCATCAGGAGAGTCACAAATTGTTCTTACATCATTTGAATGACCATCTAATTTTGCTTTTTATTATCCTGTCTTAACATCCCATAAACGGATGGAGTTATCTGAACTACCAGAAGCTAATGTTGTACCATCAGGAGAGAAATTGACTGAATAAACTGTTGATGAATGACCATCCAATATGGCTTTTTATTATCTTGTCTTAACATCCCATATACGGATAGACTTATCATCACTACCAGATGCTAATGTAGTACCATCAGGAGAATAACATATTGAATTTACCCAATCTGAATGACCATCTATTTTGGCATGTAATTATCCTGTCGTAACATCCCATAAACGGATAGAGTTATCATTACTACATGATGCTAATGTAGTACCATCAGGAGAGTAACAAACTGAATTAACACAATTTGAATGACCATCTAATTTGGCGTTTAAATATCCTGTCTTAACATCCCATAAACGGATGGAGTTATCTGAACTACCAGATGCTAATGTAGTACCATCAGGAGAGAAATTGACTGAAGTAACTGCTTATTTATGACCATCTAATTTGGCTTTTTATTATCCTGTCTTAACATCCCATAAACGGATAGAAAAATCTCCCCCTTTCTAATTAGATCCACTAGCAGATGCTAATGTAGTACCATCAGGAGAGTAGCAAATTGAGTTAACCCAATCTGAATGGCCATCTAATTTTGCTTTTTAGCATCCTGTCTTAACATCCCATAAACGGATAGACTTATCATTACTACCAGATGCTAGCATAGTGCCATCAGGAGAGTAACAAATTGAATTCACTTAAAATACATGACCTTATAATTAGGCTTTTTATTTTCCTGTCTTAACATCCCATAAATAGATAGAATTATCATCACTACCAGATGCTAATGTAGTTCCATCAGGAGAGTAACAAATTGAATTAACTTAATATTCATGACCATATAAAATAGCTGTTTAATTTCCTGTATGAACATCCCAAATACGGATAGAACAATCTCCCCCTCCATAATTAAATCCACCACCAGATGCTAATGTAGTACCATCAGGAGAAAATTTGACTGATCTAACTGTATCATAGTGACCATTCAATTTGGCTCTTTATTATAATGTCTTAACATCCCATAAACGGATAGACTTGTCTCCACTATTAGATGCTAATGTAGTACCATCAGGAGAGTAACAAATTGAATTAACAAAATTTGAATGACCCTATAATTTGGCTTTGAATTATCCTGTCTTAACATCCCATAAACGGATAGACTTATCATTACTACCAGATGCTAATATAGTACCATCAGGAGAGTAACAAATCGAATTAACTTAATATTAATGGCCATCCAATTTGGCTTTTAACTATCCTGTCTTAACATCCCATAAATGAATAGCCTTATCATAGCTGCCCGATGCTAATGTAGTACCATCAGGAGAGAAATTGACTGAAGTAACTACTTAGTAATGACCATCTAATTTGTCTTTTTATTTTCCTGTCTTAACATCCCATAAACGGATAGAACAATCTCTCTCTCCTATACTAGATTTACCACCAGACGCTAATGTATTACCATCAGGAGAGAAATTGACTGCTCTAACTGCTTATTAATGACCATCTAATTTGGCTTTTTAGCATCCTGTCTTAACATCCCATAAACGGATAGAATAATCTCCTCCACCATATTCAGATCCACCACAAGATGCTAATGTCGTACCATCAGGAGAGAAAATGACTGATCTAACTGTATCAGAATGACCATCTAATTTGGCTTTTTATTACCCTGTCTTAACATCCCATAAACGGATAGAATAATCTCCTCCACCATATTCAGATCCACCACTAGATGCTAATGTCGTACCATCAGGAGAGAAATTGATTGACATAACCTTTTTAGTCTAACCCTCTAATCCTAATTTGAATTTTTACTTTCCTGTTTTAAGATTCATTAAATACACAAATTCTCTGCTGCTGAATGCTAATGTAGTATTATTAGGTGAGAAACAAACTGATTTTATCTCCCCTATACCCCTAATTCTGCCCTTTTCTTACCCAGTTCTAACATCCCACAATATAATCAAACTATCATCACTACAAGTAGCTAATGACTTACCATCTGGAGAGAAGCAGACCGAATTGACATTTCTACAATGACCATTTAATTTATTTAACTCATGTATTTTGATATTTTTCCATTTACAATTAAACATTTAAGCTTAATTCAAGTTTATTCCACTAATATCTACATTGTCAAGTTCTGATCCATTGAATAAGCATCTTACAAAATTTCCACCAACTAAAGAGGTATCTCTAATTTTGATATTCTCAAAACTTTATTCCCTCAAATCCACTTTCATTAAAACCAGTAAATTAAGAGAATTTGATCCACACTAAATATATCTCTCATCTAAAGCAGTCAGATGAACTAAAAATTTTAGGAATTCTATAATCTTCTTATCCAATGATATTTTTATGATTAGATCCTTTTTATATTCTTCATAATCATCTATTGAGTAATTTTGTGTATTAAAGTCATGATCCTTAATTTTTTTGAGAACATCCGTTATTCTCTTAATGTTCTTCTCCCCATTGAAAGTCTATACTGTATCAAACAGAGATAAAATTTCTCCCTTTTATCTTTCTCTTTCTAAAAGGAATTTATTTTGATCTAATGAGAGAAATTCAAGGCAGTCTTAAATTCTCTCTTTTTTTAATATTTTTATGAGTATAGGAAGGACTACTTCATCAAGCTCTTTGGATAAGGCCAAAACCTTATAAAACTCTCCAACTTATTCTTTTTTGTTGCGGTGCATTTACTTTTTTTAAAAATAATATTAAATTTCTATTACTTTATTTTGAGCTTTATAATATAATCTTAAGCATCTTGTATATATTTGTAAGGGAGAAGTAATTTTTTCATTTAGATCAAATTATAATAGTGACGACTATACTTACGACTAGCTTAATCTTAACAAATATTTAATAACAACATAAACAAATTCAGTAAAGCATTGATCATTTAAATAAAGGAATGCAAACTCTTCGCGATTGTCCGTCGTTAATAGAAGCAAATAAAAATTTGGTAGAATAATTTTGCACCGATCTAAAAACGTGAGAAAAATAATTTATGATTTATGGGTCTGTTTTGGATTATACTAATACAATAATTTATTATGTGTTGAGACACTATTCATAAATAATTTGCTCAACCTTTTAAACAGATTTTTTTACATTGAGCACTTCCTTCCTCTTCAACATATTCTAGCATAATTATTTCTTTTCATTTCAGCTCAGACGCATTATCCCTTATGCTTCTATTTTAATATCCTTAGTAAATTATTACAACTTCGAACTCATGTTAACATCATTTATCAATTATTATTTTATTAGTGCCATCATGTTTCAGTAATGTTAGATTTAGACCAATTTTCCTTGTGGCAAATTCAGTATATACACTGATATTTGATTCCTCATAAGTAGATTCTACTTGTGATACTTCATGCCATCCTTCTTTTGTATTCCTATAAGAAAAATCCACTTTAAATACTAATGTGTATTCGTATTAAAATAACGAAATTCTTCTTTTCAGTGGACACCCTGCATGCTTGATTATTTATTGCAGAATATGCGTAAGCTTGTGTGCATTAAATTGGCACTTCTTGATATAATAATACACTTGAAGATGTAAAATTATGCAAAGGTTTAAGTTATGGTTGGTAATGGCCATTGTGAAGTGCTAAATAATCCACAAAAAAGAAAGCATTTAGCCTATCCATTATTAGAACATAATTTACAGGAGACTAAAGTGGATGAACTATACTACCCAAGTTAGCTATTAGCTCATAATATATAAATGGTACCATATTAGTACTACTTATAGAACTAGGCTAAGTAACCATAGGTGATAGTAAAGAACCATTATATTATCCTCCATTGTTTGTTTTATCGACATCAGAATTTGTAACACAATTTGAGCCACTTCCTCTTGAATATATTAATAATTGATATAATCAAGCAACTCCTGGAAATAATAATTTATTTTGGCTGTTCAATAATTTCCAAAGCAAAGTTAAACAATAGTTAATTATAGAGTCTTTAGAACATCTCAAAATTTTTTACTTTGCTATTTGAAAGTAATATCCATGGGCATATTGGTTTTAATCCTTTGATAACAGCTTTAATTGCATATTGTAAACATCATAGCTACAACACTTCTGGACATTGATAAGGATTTTAGGGTAAGTTATACATACTGGGAGGTATGGAAGCTCAGGGATAGAATTTCACTATGATAATAGACTCCATAGAAATGAAGCTTTGAAGCAGTTTGATAAAAACCAGAATTAATATGTGCAATTTGGGACATAGTTTCATGCATAACTATTATATACCCAAACCATGAGATGTAGCAAAGTGGCTTAGGATGCTTATGATATCCAAAATGAAGGAAGAACACCAGGATTTTTGGAAGTATATATTCAAAAAACATTTGAATAAATTACTAATATAGCACAAGTTTATTACTAAAATATTAAAACTAGTCTAGAAAGAGTTTTCCAAGAACACTAAAGGGTATGTGGAATGATCTTTACATATATTGTATTGTGATAAAACATATAAAAAACTAGTACAACTCAACTCTCACATTTATTCATAAATGCTAAACATGAACCTAATTAAGTATCATTTTGATGTAATCTGGATTTAATGCATCCCCCCAAGTCTATTAAAAAAATAGTTAAGAAGTTGTGGATTTTCCTAATGACTTCTTCATACAATAAAAACACTATTTTTGTTAAAGCTCTATTGTTAATTATTAGAATATCTAATAAAGTATTTGAACATCTCAAGGAGTATAAAAATTCAATAAGTAGGTGATGCTCCAAATCGATATTATCCACTAAAACAGAAAGAAATTTATGATATGCAAAACCAGCATATCGTTTGTTGATGTACAAACTCCTCCAATATAACCATCAACACATAATGAACAATTGATAGTGTTTCCAGTGCAATTTTACAAGAAAAATTGATAACGGAGCGTAAAGTGGGGAAATTATCATAGCATCCTCCGTTGTGTCAATAAACATAATAATCATGCATGTAATAGCCTGTAGGTTGTAATTAAGAAAGAAGATAATTATTAGTATAGGGAAGCTCATCTCTTTTCCTGGATTTGATGTTCAATATACTTATTGGCAAAATTTTTTGTAAGTCAAGACAAGTGCTTATTATCTACTTCATCTACTTCTTGTTTAGGAGATGCATTACACAACAATATACGTTTCACAAGAGGCATAAATGGTAAGCTAATTATGGCTATAAAAGAAGTATATAATAATCTTTAAACTCTTCAGCTAACCATTAGATTACCATTTTGCAGTGGTGGTAAGTTTGCCTTGTTCCAATTATGAGATTTTTGATAATCATTGTCCTGTTTTTTTTAGCAATTTGTGAACAAGTTTTCAATCAGGTAAATTTGAAATCTTGCAATTTGATTAAATTGCTAAGCTAAAATTAAACCTCTAGAATAATCAGGAATTCAATTAGATTATATGCTGTATATTAGGACGGAATAATTATTTGATAGGAATAAAATTTATCATGCGTAGTGAAACTCAAAAAGTGTGAACAATGTTATGGCATAATTGGATAATTAGCCATAATAAGCTGAGTTTATTAGTTCATATAACCTGAAGCACAATTGAAATTCCTTGTTAAAATTATCATTGAAGTTTTACTGAATTTCTTCAGTGTTTTAAACTTTAATTGTAAATTAGATGTCCTAAAGCAATGTGGATACCTAATAATTTTGAATAAATCTCTCACGATCCTGCTCACTTTTTGAGAATATTCAGTTACTTGGCCGCATTTAAGACTAATTTGGCTAGTTTGGTTCTCAATGGCAATTCATACATATCAATCCTCTTCTTATTGTATTCCTTGTAGCCATTGGAGCCAAAATTATGATTTGCTTACTCTATTTTACAAGTCAAGCAGACAATTACTCCTCAGAAGAAGATATGGATGCACTTGCTGCCTAAACATTTGCAGCCTCTGCGATTAATATTTGTTATACCTTTCTACAAATATTATCTGTAGATATTCCTTTCAAATTAGTGAATATGAAAGCGTAAAAAGTAAGATAGGAGGACTTTCATCGGAATGGCCTGCTGTCGCAGGAAAAATTATTCAAATCCTCGGTTCCTTTTATCTGAATTTAAATGGATTTTTGCATCTCCTAAATGAATTAAATACCAACTGCATTCAGACGCAGTCGCATCAGTTATTGTTTTAACATATTTCAATATATATATGACATACCCAGTTTCTTTGAATTATGTTAGATTTATGAGTTTCTTTTTTTAAATGCTGAACTTGCATTCAAATGAGTTACTTTTATAAATTAGAGCGAAAGTCATTGAGTTGGATGCTCTAAAAGATATAATAGCCTCTAAGCATAAATTTAGTCTAGATAAATGTAAAAAACTAATGCAAGAAAATTCAAGTATGTCTCTCAAAGCAATTTATGTTGTAACTCTAATATCACTCCTCTACTTTTATTACTTTTTATTAGAAAATACTCGTATCTTTTTTGATGTGCTAACTTTAGTTTCATCTCAGTGATTGTTATTGTGTGTTGTGATATTTATTACTTACTTTCTAAAGTTTAGAGCGATTTATGGAAATAATTTTGACAATAGCTGATGACTTTTGTAACCAAGTATTGATGTACAACAGGCACTTAACTACTAATCTTATATTGAAACTAAAGAAATTGTAAAACTTTGTAATGTTTTGACATTAGCAAATTAAAACACTAATTATGATGATGGTTTTTTATGACAAGCCATCTCTCAGCTTGTTAAATTTCAGATTGTTTACAGTGGTCCTGAATATTTCAAAGCCCCAAATAATTTTTACATCCAGTAGTAGTAGAATCCTGATGTAAGTATTTAATTTCTATAGCCAAGATAAACAATGCAGAATACCACGCTGTTTCCCTCCTATATCTTTTACCTTTAACCTTTTATTTTAATCGGCACTAACAACTCAAACATATTTTGTAATAATATTATTATGGAGATTTTTATCTGCCATCCTATATGGTATAAACATAATCATTCACCACTATTCCTTTTTTTCGATAAAGTGCTTTATATTCCCAAATGAATTAAATCCACACGACATGTAGACCTAACTAGTGATTATCAGCAGTATCAGATATTGTTTCAAAATATTTCTGGTATTACAACTCCAAATCTCTTGGTGTTTGTCCTTTATGTTTGACTCTATGAGTGCCATCAGGTCACATGGATATGTTTAACTTGCCTTTCTTTGCATTGCTTCAAACTAATTGAGAAATCTTCAGCTAAGTAACAGAAAGCATGTCACATTATTACTGTTATTATAATTTTGTTAGAATTGGGTTTGGCAGTTACGACCCTTCCACTACAGTTGTCTGAATTACGTAGTAGCAGGTTGGTATCGAATCCCAAACTGCACCAAAAGGGATTAATTTTAAGGGAGTTTCTTATGTGATAGAGGGATGAGAGTGGAGACTTTGAAAAGGGGTTGAAAAGCAATCTTGTGTAGAGTAGGTGTGGAGATGATTTATGATTTAATTTGAGTTAATTAGTAAATGTGTAAATAGTCTAATTTTTGTCATCTTTCCATAAATGTCAATTTAGAATCATATTGAAATCAATAATCTCATATGAAAGTCAAAAAAAAAAAGAAGTATAAACCTTATAATAATCTCTTATAACAAAATTATCATTGTTAACACCTCAATTAAAAGAATGTTTGTCAGTATTTGCATACCTATTAAACATATTATTCGTACACACCCTCATACGACATTGTATTGTTTATCAAATCTCTAAATCTTAGTCATATTATCCGCCGGATTAATATAGCTATTAATATTATACAAATTACTAAAATCCTTCTTCTCCTGCTTGAATAAGTCCAATTTTTTTAGTCAGAAGTATTAGAATGTAGCTAAAATGCTTAATTAATAAAGTAAATAGCCTTAAAAAAAAAATGCAAATTATCGGGCAGTTTCTGATGCAAAATTGCTATCAAAAACTATGAAGGAGACTTTGCTAATAAATTTTCATAGATTGTATAACACTTATTGAAAAAACCTAAAACGGTTTAATAATAAATAGTTCTTCAAACTACCAAACTCACTAACTTGAACATTCCGAAAATCAATATTGGAGTTACTAAAAAATAATTTTTTTTGCAGATTAATTGTGACAAGCATGCAATAAAAATCTCAAGAAACAGTAAATTGATTTTTACAAATGAGATAAATTTCGCTTTTATGGATTATTCATTTATTTTATCATTCAAATGGTTTTGGTTATTATTGTTCTTATGTTTACCTATTAGATTAACATAACAAGCTGTTAAATAGCGAGGCCTTTCTTGCATCCTTCTTTGGATTAACTTTTTCAAAATTTTTATAACTGTCCAGAATCAAGTATTTAAAATAGGAAAACGCTAAATTTCTATGAATGAAAAAAGGAAAATATATCAAATATCATTATAGCTATAGCCAATTATATGAGGCAAATGAGGATCTGTATAAGATATTAATAAATTGATATTGTTTCATATAATTTTTAAGGAACTTAAATATATAAGATAAACTAGCTACTTTAGTAAACTAAATTCAAAAATATTATACGTTTGAATAATTATATCTCTTCACCCATACCATGACTCATTTATTAAAACTAAAATAAATTTACATTTTAGATCAAATATGCTACACTATTAGTAGATATATAAGAAAGTGACTATTGCAATAAACAATTGTTGTTTGCTCAAACAAATTCATTAAATACAATATTTATAATATAAGTTAGTTTTTGATGAAATATTCTAAAAGGAAAAGATGGAATGGCTTATTGTCATGTTTGCCAAGACCACATTTTATTAGTAGACAACACATCTTTTCTTACTCATAGATTGCTCATTAAATTTTTTCAAAAAATAAAAAAGTGAAAAACAGGTCCACAAGATTTATTAAATGGACGCCCAATGAGTACCATATGAGAAATATGGAACTTTTAATACCTCTAATCACATTAAACATTAAAAAATATGATAAGTGTGTAAATATGTATAAAAGTCTGAAGACACCTTTCTAAAACAGAGAAACATTTGCAATGCTGAGCAAAGTTCCTTCTAATTATTCAAATATCAGAATATTTATTAAGTAAATTACAATTTAAAATGATAGAAATGCTATGGACAGTTATCAAGAAAATTAATTGTTTCAATCAACTCAAAAAAAGAACATGTCTTCTAAAAATGATATAATTGAATCTATTACATTTTCTCCTCCATTTCTTAAATTTTTTGTGGTCTTCTTCTATTGAGTTATTTAGGTAAAATGTTGTCCAAATTGCAAATTTAATAATGAACTTTTGACGAAAAATTTTATTAGTATTTGATTGATATAATTTCAGCATATACAGATAATTTCAAAAATGACTAATCACTTTTTTTTAAAATAATTTAGATTATTGTCTTGTTTCTTCTAATCAATAGTGCTCTAAATTCTTTTCTGTCTATGTTAGGCTTCGGTTTTATATTTCGTAGTCCTGCTCTAATGAAAAGATGCTGTTTTTGTGTGGAAAGGGCTGAACCCTTGTGAATCGTTTTCAAGGATTCCACTCTGTTTATATCCAAATTGCTTTTGCCTAAGTTAATTGATTGTTTACTATATTTTGTATAAATCTACAGTTTAGGTTTCTTTCTGAAGATCATTTTATGTAGGCAAAGGCTTAAGTAAAAATTTCATTTATTTATTGCCATTACATTTATATGGGCTAGTGCTACAACTATTTTTTGTATTTTGAGATAAGGAACTGTCCAATCTTTTTATTTGAATCTTCTAGTTTCTTTCAGGATATTCTTTTGCAATTTTTAAATCTGGTAATAAACTATGCAGGAATAATAGATCCCCGTTGCTATTTTCTTATCTTTCTATGCTTTTGATCATTATAGGAGAAGCATTTGTAGAGGAATAGTCACTCTACTTTGATTTCTAAATTTTTTGTCTTATTTTTAAGAAGTTTAATAAGTTTGAAGTTTAATGGTATGGAGAAGAATCTTAATTATCATCACTTACATCAGTTTTAGTAAGTTTCGATTAATTATCAGATAAAGTTAAATATTTTTACCCTGATATTTTGACATTATTTTTGAGATGTATAATAATCATCAAACCTTTTATAAACAGGATGGCCTTCTATGTCAAAAGCCAAAGATCAAACATTTCAGTGAAATTTTATGGAATCACCTACCTTTTCTCATTTATCCAAGGGTGAAGCAAAGCCTAAAAAGCACTATATCTTTTAGTGGAATCAAATTCAGTCATTCTTTGAAATAAAGATATCTATTAACTATATTAAATCAATTAAAAATACCGATCCATGTTTTGAAAGTTATCTATTGTATGCATTTTTTCCATATTTTTAATTAATTACTGTTAATTTTACCCATTGATAAAATATGGATGTTTACCCTTATTTAGCAATTGATATAATATAACTCCTACACTCCACACATCTACATTCTAATTAAATAATAATCATACTTTGTTATAAACTTTTTTTAATAATAACTCAGGAGCCATGTATGTTAAAGTACCACATTTCTTTTGCATTAAAGCGTATCGATTATGATGAGAACTCAATCCAAAATCAGTAATTTTTACAATATTTGATGCTTCTCCTATAAGTATATTATCCGGCTTTAAATCTCTATGAACAAAGTGATTATCATGAATATAAGATAGGGCACTCAGAATTCCTTAAATAATTTATTTAATTTCTTTAACTTCAAACCATTAGTTAAACTTTATCTTAGTATCCATTAATTTTTATAATGATCCTCCATTTATAATTTCCATTTCTATCAAAATTTTAGTATCTGTTCTTTTAATATCGAAAAATTTGACAATATTTTAATGATTTAATTATGAAAAAATAGCAGCCTCTTATTCAAGGGAGTCAAATTTTTTTATAGTTGCTTTTGAGATAATCTAATATATTGTATATATTGCTACTTTTACAGCAACTAATGCCTTTGAATTGTTATTGACTGCTTTAACAACCAATCCGAAAGCTCCTTGTCCTAGAGTTTCAATATAAGAATAATAATCACTAAATCTAGTTTAAAGGTCATTCTAATTTAAAAATTCTTCCATCTCCTCTTGAAGAAATTATTATATATTTAATATTTATTAAGATTTACTTCTAATGTTTCATCTATTTATTCAATTCAAGAATGAGATATAGATATATATTTTTTGTAAAAAGTAATTGGAATTAAAATATCTACTTGTTGCTTGCTTAATATTCTCATTTATAATATCAATCTTTTTTTTTAGTTCCTTATTTATCCTCAATCAGATTTTCCTAAATATCATCCTCTGTTAAAGTTCCATATATAATTTTATCTTCAGGCGCTATTTGATGTATTTCATTCTATAATTATTGTAATGAAACAGTTGCTGAACCTAAAACTTATAAATAATTTTATACCTCTCGATTTTGGTTGAGCCTATGATTCGTGATACTTCCAAGCAGAAAAATAGATTTATTCAAAAGTACTATTTACCTTCATATTCTCATTTTTAAATAAGGATTCATAGATAGCACTCACACTTTGAGTTGTTTCTTTAAAAGTACCTATCCTTTTTTAAATCAATGCTTCGCCTTCTCCGATGTCCTAAATATATTGCATCAAATGATATACAGAATCAAACTCATAAAGGCTATATTAATATTATTTAAAATAGTTACTTTCTTTCTGTGCATATTGTAGGTAGGTTGAATTTTAATCTTGCTAGCAAGTTTCCCATTTCTGTTATAGAAATGAAGGGAGACACATGTTATGAAACTCCTCCAAATCGTTCATTTTCAGCTAAAGAAAATGAAATTCGCAATTCTTGTAGAGTATCAGAACCAAATATTGACCCAACTAATGTACCATCTGGTTCTAAACTTTCTAACCATTTTATTAAAACTACTTGCAAGTCATTTACCCAATGCAAATTCATATTTGATACGATTAATTGCAAATGGCCATCCAAGAAAGGCCAAAAATCCTCATCACAACATATTGGAACCACTCTTGTTATATTATCTTAAGATTTCATTTCAGAGACTTTCTAGATTTAAAATTTTCCTTTTAATTGTTCATCATTGTTAAGTTATTATATGCTCTATTCCAAAAAATCTAAGTCAATATCACATAAATATATGGTTTTAGGCTATAAATCTAGTATTATTAAAATTATAGACTGTTGGGTAAATTTTATAAGAATTATGCAGCTCCTTATCCAAAGTAGGCGATATTGCCATCATATTATTTTCGAATTGAAGATAAATTGTCAGCCAATGTGAAGGTCGATTGTTTTAAAAATATATTTTCAATATTTGATCTTAAAGCATATTATCTATTCATGATATGTTTATCTCTATCAAATATTTGTTTTGTTTTTATAGTATTTTATTTGCTAAAATAGCTCGAAATTTTGAATAGCATCAATTATTAAAAATTAAAATAAATATTTATTTTATAATTATTTGTTTAGATCAAATACCTTTACTTCCATATTGATTTAATTGAATATATTATACTATACTATAATAATAAAATACGTAAATTTTTAAAATAGACCATGAAATTCGAAGAATAAATAATACAATCATTTAGATATTAAATACATTATTTTAGTCAAACAATATTGTATTTTGTAGTAATAGATTTATTGAATTGCCTTCAAATATATTTCATTTTTCAAGCTCTTCTATAATTTCTGCCACTAAACTGACTAATGTTGTTTATTTAATTTAATAAGCTTTTACTAAAATTCTGATTAAAATTGCAAAATCATTTTCATCAAATATCCTATTTTCTATTGCCAACTATTTGATCCACCTTTTAAGTGGATATTGAGGACCATGTAAACTATTAATGAAATTAATCCAACTAATTTAGGTTTTGGTATTTTAAGGTATAAAATTATCAACATCTATTTTTGGAGGAGGCATTATCTTCCCATTTTAAAGTTTATCTTATGTTGATTTTGATTTTATCATAGTTAATTTATTGAACATTGAATTTGAATTTAGACTTTAAGGAGAGGGCAATCTTCTGAAAAAATATGAAGGCTCTTTATTACTTCTATCTGTTAAGCATTCCTTGATGTTTTATAATTTTTTTCTGTGAATTGCCATATTGAAATCATTAATTCTTGTAGAAATTGGAAGTTTTGAATTTTCATTCTTCTTTAGAAATGAAGTTTTAATTTCTGTATTTAAATGCCTTTCCTTAATCTATTAAAGGCATAATCTATGACCCCATAATTAGGATAATATTAATTATCGCCCTCCCACATTCCGAGTGTCGGGAGTGAATTGCATACGTTAATAAAATATTATAAATTAATATTACAATATTAATAATTTTTGTTGTATTCTTCAAATTACTCTAGTTCCATTATTCCATTCTTGCTCTTCATCCTGACCACCTTTCTATTTTCTAATTCCTTTCCCGTGTTATTTATCATTTTACCATGCTCCAAAATAACTTGTTCCATCACGATAAAAGAATGTCCCATCCCCATTTCTAAGATCATTTTGAAATTAACCTAAAATATTCAATTTGGTATTACCTTTGTAATATCTACCATCAGGGTAAAATAATTCCCCTTAACCATTCATCATACTATTCTTCCAATTGCCATTATATCTTCTCTTATCAGCCCATGTAAAGGTTCCATATCCTAAAAATATTGAAAATAGATTAGTACCTTCCATTTGATCATTTACTACACTGCCTTCATAAATAGATCCATCTGTCCATTAAAATCGACCTGTTCCATATTTAACTCCATTATCATAACTTCCTTCATACTTTGTTCCATCAGGCCATGTTTCTTTGCCAAAACCATTTTGCTTATTATTTTTGAACTCACCTTCATATTTTGTGCCATCAGCGTATTTATAGATTCCGTTGCCTTCCATATTGCCATTCTGAAAATCTCCTTACTAGGTTCTAGAGATCATTATATACATATAAATCTCCAGATGCCATAATTAATCTCCCATGAAGATGTTAATAGTCTTAGAAAAAGTAGCCTTCGTATATAGAACCATCTGAATATATGAATTTTCCTCTGCCTTCCTTCACACCATTCATCCATTATCCTTCATAAATTGAACCATCTTCTAAAAGCTGATATCAACTTAAATTTTACATAAGGTGTTAAAGATCTAGATTTTTAGAATTTTTCGTCATATCTTGTATTGTAATTGTACTCTCCATATACAAGTAATTTCTCTTTTACAAAATAATTGCAGGACTCTACAGTTCCATTATAAGGTTTGATATTTTCATTTTTTGGTTTTGTGTTTTCCATTTGCTCTTTTTCTTGCTCAGCCTAGATATTTGAATTGTAACTTACCTCCTTTCTCGCTTTCATCCCTCTAAATCCTGATTAAATTTTAATCACATTTTATTCATCATAGGATGATAATGGCAATGCCTCTGCTTAAGCTTCTTCAGGCTTAACCTTTTCTTGAAGCTAACCTTCTTCAAAGCACATACTTTCTCGTTTATCAATTTCTGTTGAGACTGGATGATGTGAAATGCAAGGACCCATTTTTATTAGTAAATTATAAATTCAATGAAAAAGAACCAAATATTTCACCTGTTAGAATTAACTAACTTCACAAGACAATATGAAACATGATTGGATTTAATTAATTGACTCATACATCTAATAAAAGATTAAATAGTTAGCTATTTATTTTCCCCTCTTTCAGGCAAAAACGCTTTAATAAGGCATAGGAGATTTATTAACTAATTTTTTAAAAGAGATATTTTTTCATTTTATATTGCCATAATAATCTCAGTGCATTGGTTATTTTTGAAATAATTGAGTCATTCCAGGTAGTAATTGTAGAATGTTAATGTATAAGCAAAATCGGATGATATCTCAAAATTTCAATCAAAGAGGATAGGATCAAAACCTATGACTTGAAATATTAGTTATGATATTCTTAACTTATAATTTATTATTAACACCAATAATTCAGATTTTCAATTGAATGATGATAATTTAATACTTTAAATATCATCGACTAATTTGTATGTCTTTTTCCTTCTTACTTCTGTAATTAAAATTTCATACCCGCTTACATTTATTTTGACTAAAGAGGATTCTTCTGTTTGTGATTATTAAGAATTTTCATTTTGAATTACAACTATCTTTATATTTGATTACTGTTATTCATTTAACCTCTCTAATCCGATCATAATTTCAAATAAGTAACAATATTTAAATTGTAGATCATATAGGAATAGAAAGAAGTCTATTGATATTTGGAGATAAATGGTTGCAAATGATGAATTAATTTGACATATAAATTGATATATGATATAGATAGAATCATTTTAATTTTGCTAATCGTTATTCGACAATCCTATCAAGTCTCAGTTATTATTTGAGTAATTCAATATCCTTTTTATAATTAGTTTGATATGTTGTTGAATCATCCTAATGTCGCTATTCTATAGTAATTTTATCATCATTAATGGAAATTTGATGTCTAGAGATAGGTTTAATAAATCTACTATTCTGAATTTTCGTCATCATTTTCTTCTTCTTGGTTATGATCAATCTATGATTTTTAGCTTTCACTTCTTAAATCTAATTCAACTTATTAAACATTTTCTGTGAATATCACTCCATCAGGATTTCTTCTAATCCATGGCGCCTCCGGTTTGTTGTCCACGTCTGTAGACTATACTATTGTAATCGAATAATTAGAATTACTTGAATTCCTTCAATTAATTTATTATCAAATTCTGGATTCATAGAGGGAGGAGTTATTCTAGGTAAACAGAAAGATAGTCTGGTTTCTAAGTTCCCAATTTTAAAAGTTGGGAAAATGCAACATAATCTATTAGAATAGGGAAAAATGGTTGCACTTTTATGTTAATTCGAGTCTAATGCTGCAAGAAAATCTCGAATTGTAGTTTCAAATGATTCCTAAAGTTAATCAGCTAGTTAATTTAATAACTCTTTTCCTTTTCTCTTTTATTTATTCTGCAATAATATATATATATTTTACTAATATTGTAGCAACTGCAACATTATAATAGTATTCGTACATATTATATGTTCTATCCTCAAATTCCAATTCATCTAATTCGCTTATTAATCTCTCCTATTGTTCTTACTATGATATTAATGAATTATTAGACTATTAACTAAACTCTTTTATTTATTATTTCAATCCATATGATTTTGTCCATAAATCCATAGCTTTTTTATAGTTTCCTAAGTAAAATTTCATTATTCCTCTATAAAATATTAGATCTGATGTTAAAAACACATGACCATCTGATCCTAAAACTATCAATTTTTTAAGCATCTACGATGCCAATCTGTAATTGACTGATTTATTTGATCCTTGAGATAATTTAAGAATCATCATAGATTGAGATTCATCTGGACCTACTGTTGATGTTTTCAAGGCTAATAAGCATTCTTTATCAATGTAGCTCTTTTTATCTCCAGTCAATTCTATTATCCTATTTAAATCTGACATTGCATAATTTAATTCTTTCTGAATGATGTAACATAGTGCTCTGTATCTTAATAATTACACATTGTTTTGAATATCTGGAGAATGAGAATACGTTTTGATTGCGTGCTCGTAAGCTCCAATTAAAAATAATAAATTTCCTGCCCATAAATGAATGTCAGGGTCTTTGGGTTTAAGAGAAATATAAGTTTGCAAATCATTAAAAGCAGCAGTTCTGTCCCCTAATAATGTAAATACTTTGGCTCTATTTAAATAAGCTTCAGCAAATTTTGAGTCCCAATTGATGACAATAGTGAAATCATTTAAGGCTTATTAAGGATTGTCCAAACAGGCCCTTACTAATCCTCTTGCATAAACATACTTAGCAACTCGGTCTTCATTTTTCTCAACTGCTTTTGTTAGATCAGATAATGCCAAATCTATTTATCCAAAATAAAATCGTAAAATTCCTCTATGATAAAGAAGGTTAGAATTCTAATCATTTAAAGTTACTGCTTTATCTAAATGCTTTAACGCGTTTTTTATATACTTATCCTTGTCCTTGGGCATATGTTTGTTAATAAATTATATAAGAGTCAAGGACTTATAAAAATGCGGCTCCATTTTACCGGGAAACAACTTGGAAGCTTTCTGAAATTGTGATTATGCTTTTTCAAATTGGCTGGATTAGGACATTACAATTCCTTCACATATTATTTTATTATATAATGATGGTTAATCTAATTCTTAAAAGTTTTAAACATAAATCAAGTCATTTAATGCTTTTTAGAATTTATTTAAACAAATAAAACCTAAAATATTCAATAACATTACCATAGGCTCTATAAAGAAAGATAATCTTCTTGATGAACTCCCCCAATTAATAATTATTAATTAATTATGTGAATACATTTACACCTTCTTAATATTTTCTTTTCATTAAGAATATCACTCCTTCTGTGAATTATCTTAATTTCATAATTGATTCTTTATCAACCTCTAAATGGTCTTCTCTTTATAATGTATAATATGCAGAATAGAAATCCTTTTAATCAATTTTAATTTTGGCTATTTCTTACAACGATTTTGTAACTGCTTTCCTACTATTATTTTATTTAATTGATTATTCAAAGCTCAAAATAGCTTCATTTAATTATCCTTTATTTATAAAAATTTAGCCTTTCATGAAAAGTGCTTCTGAACTATTGGGGTCGTTTATTAAAATTTAATTGATAGCTTCCATAGCCCTATCTAAAGACTATAACTCAATATAGCAATATATTTTTCTCATTAAAATTATTTCATTTTCTGGAATAGTTTCATAAACATTCAATGCTTCAGCTATTTTACCACTCAATCTTAAGCAATCTGCTCTACCTAATGTACCTTAAAATGATATTTAATCATTCTCTAGAACACTTGCTTGATTGAAATCTTGTAAAGCTAATTAATATTTCTTTATTTTCATTAATAATTTTCCTTTATGAATTAATGCATCATAATAAGTTGGTTATAATTTTGAATATTTTTTAGATAAAAATTCTTTTAATACAACTATTGCATCGCTGTAGTTCCCAATTTTTTTTAAACACAATGCTTATAAAATTACAGTATTTCCATTTAAATCCCCTGATTGTCTTGCTCTTGAAAACTAATTAACTGCTTAATCATATTAACGACAATTCATATGAATTAAACCCTTAAAGTAAGCAATTTCTTTTATGTATTCTGGATTTATTTGAGGCTAGTCAATCTCCTCCAAATCTTTTAAGGCCTCTGAAAATTTTTATGCCTTTATCAGCTTTTCACAATTTAATATTCTTTTCGCGGGAGATTATGAGAAATATTGATGAACATGGTGTTCGCTTGTTGTGCTATTAGGGTGTAATTTGCTAAATTTAAAATTTAATTGTAATACTTCTGTAAAGATGATTTTCGGGTAGATAACTAAATCGTCTTTAGGTTTTTTGTATTAAAAGAACTGTTTAGCGAGGCTTTATGATTAGTCATTGACTTATTTTTCTTATTATTGACTATACTCCCTGATTTTCTTTTTGAATCATCATTTCTAGATTGAACATTCCGATGATCAACATCTTCTGTTTTCAAATAACGATTTTGACTTCTTCTTATAGTTTATTACTGTCTGCCTTCCCACATTGACGGTGTGAAACATTTCCTTCTTGGAGATAAACTACTTCTAACTAGCATAATTTTTTGTTAGTTATTTAACTTATAATATATATAAAATTTGAAATCTAAATCACATTTCCATTATAATTAGTTAGTTTATAATCAAAGATTTAAAAATTCAAATAGTGCTTCATAAACCAAGAGAACATAATTTGATCATTATTGAAATAAAAATGATTTTACAAATTTATATTCAATGAAATCTAAAATATAGCTGGATATTTAAATAAGAAAAGGGCATTTTAAAATAAATTTTAGCATTTATTTATTAAGATTTTGCAATTCTTAAAATAGGAAGACTTAATTTCAAGCATTTTAAGACAAACAATTGGAGTTTATTGTTTAAAATAATTTTAACAATTGGATTTTGTATATCCTTAATCAGTATGATAATTTTGTATTAATAATTGATATTTGTTTATAAACTACAATTGCATTTTGTAAATCTCTACTAGTTTACCATCAACTAATAAAAAGGTTCTTTAGAATTAACTTTCTTTTCTTTGTACTCAATTAATAATTATAATAGATATTCTAATTATTCATTATATAATATTATCAGTCCATTTTATTATTTTATCAATAAATAATAATATCATCAGAGTGCTTTCTAAGAAGTCACATTCTTATTTAAATATCTTAGAGTTATTTATTTATTTAGTCTCCATTGTTTTCCTATTAAAGATCTTCTCAGTAACTCGCATTGAAATTGTATTAACTAAATCTATGATTGTCAAGAAAATTCTAATATGTGACATGATGTAATCAGGTGACTTGTCGATTAGTAATAAATGTTAATTGATTGTGAGCTTCTATAGTATTCAATATTTGCTTCTATTTATATAAAACAAAAAATTATGATAGTGTTATGAATTTGATGA